TTAGACTGCATTGTCCGGTTGTCTAATCATGATGAGTAAAGGGTGTGAGGAATCCTCACACGGTATCCTGGTCAAGAGGTACAACTGGCACACAGGATGAACCTGTGCAAAGTTCCCCTGACCACAGGATCAACCTGCTGTTCAAGCAAGAGCTGTGAATCTAGATGGATTCTACATCCCTCAAGTTCTGTACCAGTTTTGAATGAGAAAGTGTAATCCCATGCAACACCAATGATGAAAATGTGTTTGACCAAGATGAATCTGTGCAAGATGTCCTCTGGCCAAGATGTCAAACTGCTTGTTCAATTAAGAGCTTTGAGTTTTAGAAGACCCTCAAGTTGGCACCAGTTTGAATGAGGAAGTGTAACCCCATTCAAAAAATGTCATTCTATTCTGTTCTGTTCTGTTCTGTTCTGTTCTTTTCTGTTCTGTTCTGTTCTGTTCTGTTCTATTCTATTCATATCCTAAGAATTGTGGCAACATTTCCATATCTTTCAACTCTTTTGAAGTGGCAAAAACTTATATAAACTTAAACTTAGGAAAGAAGATTGGGCATAATAATTCCTATAAAAGTAACTTAAGACAAAATTCCTGGTTTTTCAAATACATGTTAATAGTCAATATGGTTTAGAAAAGTGATTGTATCTTGAACAGCTTTGTTTGGTATACTAGCCAGGTTTCCTTCTAGGTTTCTGCAGTGATCACGCACAGCGCTCCAGTTTTTGTTCTCCTGTTCTCTGAAGCCAAATATTTGGAAGCACTAGAAGAATAAGAATCCCTCCAAAAATCCATCAATCAAGAAAGGATTAATTAAATAAGAAGTATTAGACACAACCAATATATAACCATCAATCATGAAATGAAATCACTTTTTTTTTAGGAAAGCTTAGGAAGTAATTCAGGTAATAAAACTAAATTCCCTACTTTCTTTCCAGAAAAATGTAATCTAAGCACTATAATAAAAATTAACATTTTATAACTTAATTATATGCATTTATATCTGCTCTCTGTGACATAATTAACTTCTTAATATTTTTGTATTGATGCTAGTTACACAGCCAGGTTTGTCACTGCTGTCTTACTTTGGGAACACCCAGGAAGAGAGGGATTGGTGAAAAAAGAATGTGTCCAAATCTTTCAAAATCTTGATTGCATTTGAGAGACAATTCAAGGAATGATACTTGTTTTGTCTCACCTGTGACCACGAGGTGAGAGTCCAAGTTTTCAAAGGAATATAAAGAAACAAATAAACAGACAGGACCAGGAACAACAGAGTTAAATTCCTTTGATTGGAGGAAACCTTGGCAGTCTTCCAAAAGCTGCCTGCCAAGTCCAATAACAAACAAGACCATAAATCAAGAAGCAAATGCCGCATGGAGAATTTGTCCAAGCTGCTATCACGAATAAACAAATTGTCCCGAACAGAGATTCAGAGCTAACACGCCCTCTTTTATTTCCTGAGGGGCATGTCAGTCTCTCAATTCAGTCCCTGATTTGACATTTCCTTTTATGTTCCATTTCACGTCGATGTCTACGTCTTTGTCTTGCATCAAACCAGCATTCCTCGGCTTGATCCTCAGCCAAGGACTCCGGAACGCTCTCCTGATTATCTGCCGACACCTGAGGCACAACCAGGGAGGAAGGTCCCGGGGAGGGAGATGATTCTGAATCCTCCAGCAACGCAGGTTCAAACCTCAGAGCCAAGTCCTCCTCTTCTTCCTGGCTCAAGTCTGTATCTTCTAACAAGGCAGGTTCAGACTTCCGAGTCACAACAGATACTGCTTATAGACATGTCCTCCGAAATCACAAGTGACCAGAACCCCCTCCCCAAAATAATTATGATGTGGATTTGACATTTCATGGCCATGTCCCCCAATCAGAGCATTTTGGTTGCTTGGCAACCAGCTCACACTTATAGCTGTTTGCAACACTCCACGATCATGATTTGTGACTTTTTTTGTTGTTGCTGGAAACTGATATTTGCTTCTAGTTTCTGGCACAAAAGATGTTCATTGCAGAAAATGAGTTCACTTAACAACCATGGATTTTGCTTAATAACTGCTGCATTTGCTTTATGGCTACCACATTTGCTTAATAACTGCTGCAAAAAAAGTTATAAAATCAGGTTAGTCACATATTGAGCCACTTAATGACTGGCATAACTTATGACTGTAATTTTGGGCTCACTTATAGCAATAGCAATAGCACTTATATACCATTTCACAGTGTTTTTACAGCCCTCTCTAAGCCGTTTACAGAGTCAGCATATTGCCCCCAACAATCTGGCTCCTCATTTTACCACCTGGAAGGCTTGAGCCGGTGGGACTTGAACTCCTGAATTGCTGGCAATCAGCAGTCAGCAGAAATAGCCTGCAGTACTGCACTCTAACCACTACGCCACCATGGCTCTTTATGAATTTAAGTTGAGAACTACATGTAATAAATGTTAACAAGAATAATAGGAAAATAGAATGTGAAAATATACTTTTAATTACATTTAGATTTTATGGGAGCAGAGCAAAAATGGCATTTATCTAAAATGCTAAATCTATTTCTAAAAAACATGTTTTTTTTAGTATTGGCAGCATTTATATTTTTCATTGTTATTGTTGCAGGTATTTCTATTTTGTGGTCCAGTTACTCTGTTCAGATATTGTACCTAATACAATAGATGTAATGTAGGACATGAATAATCTCTTGCTGAACTACCTGTGTTCATTGAGAAGTCTAAAAAGACCACTGACTAGCTATGGCAATCTCCATGTATTTAGCATACATATTGTCTTTAGGATGTTTGAACAGGAATGCTACTTCAAAAATTTTTCAATTGCTATATCAGTTACCTTGTCATTAAACCAAAGCCAGCCTTCACTGCACCCTTTTGGTGTTGCAGATAATGTGGGCGCTGCAGTTGTATGAACAGAGCTATTGTATCTCTCACAGATGAAGCTTTTCTGATCACTACAATTTATATCATTCCATGAACCTGGTGAAAGAAGTTATTTTGTCAAGATTAATTTATTCTTAGAATAAATAGCAACAGATCATATATGTGTTGCAACCCAACTAATGCTGATGAGAATAATGCAAAGTGCAATAGTACATACTGAAATCCTACAGTATTCATGAAAGAACAGAAGTAGTCCTCACTTACCAAACACTCATTCAGTAACCATCAAAAATTAGAATGGCACTGAAAAAGAAGAGTTAGGACTGGATTTTAAAGTTGCAGACATTGCCACATCTCCACAATTACACGACTGTGATTCAGGGATAGGGCAGTTGACTCACATTTAAGACTATTGCAATATCCCATGGTCAGATGATTGTCATTTATGACCTTCACAGCTGATGTTCAACAAGTAAACTCAATGGGAAAGGCAACAGGTAGCTGCAAGTCATGATTACATGACATTGTGTTTAATGACTGCAGTCATGTATCTTTCATTTTATGACTGTCACTTAGCAATGGAGCTAGCTATTCATCCCAATTGTGGGAGGTTGGTGAGGACTACTGTATATTTGTAACCTGAATGTCAATAATTCCAAAACATGGTTCCAAAGAAGAGATTGATAAGTGACCATCTAGTTATTTTGGAATGCAATGATTTTAACCTTTGATCATTGGCAATACTATTTTGGGTTTATGAGTATTGCAAATTGGTATTTCTTGTGAATATATGATGCAGTAATTATGTTATGTAGGGTATGGGAGAAACCTTAAGTTCTTGATTGGAAAATAATATGCTTATATGCTTGCTTGGAAAATGACATGCTGTAACACTTAATGCCAATATAAATATTTACATCATAATGGAAAACAAGTTAAAGTTACAAAATAATGTATTTTTGAATGCTTTAATGATGGAATCTATAATAATATGCTCCAGTTAGCCCAAATTAAACAAAGCTGTACCTTATCCTGAACATGTACATACAGATAACTGCTGAAAACCTGAAGTTTATTTTACTTGTCTGAATTATAATACATAATTACACAGTGTTCATCTTCATTGGTAAAGTTGGGTTAACTGGGGGCCCAGGCTTCATATATCACTGGAGTTCCATCCAGCCATCTGAAGAAAAATAGTTGATAGTCACCTCTGAGCTCAAAACAACTGTTGGAAGCTCAAGAAAGGTTATTCCAAGGCTAGGACACTTTGAATTTAAAATGTTTTGCAATTTTCCATTATTCAATCTCTTTATTATTTAAGGACAATATAACCTCACTAAGTGATGGACTATACAAACAATGTAAAACAAAATAAAAGAACAAAAACAAAACAAAACAAACAAAGCAAAATGGTATAGCACACTTACAAGTATTGAGAAATTACAGGTAGTTTTTATAAAATTTGGGATCTGTTCTATCAATGGTTAGACAATAAAAAATGGTAATGAAATATGTAAATTTTTAGAACATAATCAATCTATAAAGATGTATTTTTTATTATATCTACAAAATGATACAGGATAGATTTGAGAGGGAAATATGAATTGTCATAAAATAAATTAAGTAAAGTATGGATTATTTCATAAAACATGAATGAATAATAGTATAGTCAAATGATTGATTAATAATGATATTAATGTATTTAGGAATATTTGATTGACAATATGAGAACATATACAATGTAATTTTAATTGAAGACTACGAAGTGGAAGCACAAAACAATTTGTAAACCAACCGACACACTGTATGTACATATATGGAAGATGGTTTGATGTTTTTATGTTGTGTTTGTTTATGTTTGTCTTAAAAAAAACAATAAAACTTAAAAAAAACATTCTGTGCAACATATATATTAGTCTGGTGTATCATGTTATATACATATTACACACTACACTGGCACCAGTGAAATTCATCGTATTAATCTGTTTGTGTTTAGGAGTCTGACAGCCCATTTTTGCTTGTCTGGCTATACTTCTGTGTCTTTTGCCTGATGGCAAAAGTGAAAAAAGATACTGGCCAGGGTGTGAATCTTTCCTAAGCATCTTCCTTATCTGCTGAAAGAGAAAGACCTGGGGATGTCATCCAGTAGTGTTAGGAGGAAACCAATGGTTTCTTGTGCTGAATTAGTAACTCTCTGTAATGCCTGCCTGTCGCGGCTCTGAGGACACTTTCTATCATGGACCTATAGAAAGACATCATCAGTCATTATTCCACCTGATTTTTCCGCAGGACTCTAAGGAAATGAAGTTTCTGTTGAGCCTTACTAACCACCAGGGACATATTGTTTTTCCAGGTGAGGTCTTGACTAATGAGCACTCTGAAGAATTTAAAAGAGGAAACTGTTAGATTGGGTACGAAAGAGACGCGAGACCAGTGTACTTCAAGCTCTTTATTTCATGTATAGATCAGTACAAGATCTTGGAGCCGCGGCAGCCCTTCATATAGGGATTGCTCGTGGCTCGCCGGCCAATGACAGGTATTTGAATCTCCCGCGATTGGCTCGGCCAATCGCGGTTGATTCTTAGCGGACCAATCACTGCCGTTCAGTGGACCAATCACAATGCCGTTTGTGTGGACCAATCAGGAGTCAGTATTTGGAGTATGTTAATACAGAACACCCCTCCCCTCTTGGTTCGGTCCTACGTGACGTAGTCACGCAGGTAGGCGGGGCTACGTACTTGCCTACTTGACCTGCACAGCTCAGTTGTTGTTTGGTCGTTGGCCGGTTCGGGTGGATTTCTTGTCACTCTTGTCCTTCTCGATGGAACCACCTGGAAGGGTGAGTCGGGCCTATAGCTGCAACTCCCACCCGGTCTACCCGGATCGGTCGAGTTGTCGGCTCCGCTGTTCCCACCTGGTCTTTCCGGGCTGGTTGAGCTGGCTTGGCTGCTCCTTCCAGGTGACGCTCCCTGTTGTTCGTCCACCGAGAGCTCCTGTCAGACTGTGCTCCCTCTAAATCCCAAGAAAGAAATACTCAGACTCCATGGTGTAGAGCAGGATTATTCTTTTACTGGAAAATAAAGTGGAAACGACAGAGCCAATTCCGAAACTAAGAAATTGGCGGGTAGAACACATATACAAAGGAATAGAATTGCTCCCACCCCCCAAAGTTCAAATGATTCTTCCAATTAAAACTTCTGAATATGATCATGTGGTCATCTCCAGGTGGTGATGAGGCTATTGTCAGTTGACCTTGACATATTTTGATAAAAGTTCGCAGTTGCGCAAAAAGGGACAGAGGCTAGCGAAGAAATGGAAAGTTAAGGAAAAGAATCCCCCCTCCCCTTGCTAACCCAGAAAAGAATGCAAAACACCTCCTGCCTTCTTTCCCTCCAAGATTCCCCTCTCCCACCGTTTCATGACAGCCGAAAGAAGTAAATTAGCATAGCAGTAGATATGCAATGGTTAGAAGACAGAATATACTTATTAGGAAGATATTATTAGGAAGATATCTTGAGGCTGACAGCTCCCTTCTGTCGACGTCGTCTACAGGTGAGTATTGTTGGTTTATTTTGGATTGGGGGTGTTCGGGTTGTGTTTTGGGGTTTTCTTCCTCTCTTTGCTTATTGTTTGGGGTCCCCCCCCCCTGGTTTCTTTATTAATGTTTGGTGTTTGTGTGCTGTCCGTGTTGTTGGTGGTTGTTCTCGACCTTAGTTGGTTGATGTGTCGTTTCCAGCTTCTTCCGTTGTCTGTTTGTAGTCGGTACGACTGGGGCCCTGTTACCTGGGTTATTTTTGCTGGTATCCAGAGCGGATCCCCTGTGAAGTTTTTAGCATAGACTGCATCTCCTGGGGCAAATATTCGGTATTTGCTCAACGAATCTGGGGGGTTTTCGGGGTTGTATGTGGGGTGCAGTCTATCTAGTTGGGATTGTAGTTTTCTGCCCATTAGTAGCTCTGCTGGGCTTTTATTCGTCATTGTGTTGGGTGTTATGTGTTGTATCAGTAGCATTTTATTTATTTTGTCGTGTATGTCCCCGGTTTCGATTTTTTCTATTGTATTTTTTGTGTAACGAACCATGCGTTCCGCCTGCCCGTTTGCCGCTGGATGAGCGGGCGCTGTCAACGCATGCCGTATGCCCCGTTCAGCCAGAAATTTCTCGAATGCCAGTGCGGTAAATTGTGGCCCGCTGTCTGACACTAGCACGTCTGGTAGTCCATGGGTGGTAAACAGTTTGGTTAGTTCTTTGATAACGGCCTCCGTGGTGGTGGATTTCATGACGCTAACCTCCAGCCAGTTGGAGTAAGCGTCGACCATTATTAGGAATGTGGGTCCTTTTGTGGGTCCGGCAAAGTCTATATGGACCCTGGACCATGGCCCTCTGGGGGTCTCCCATTCCAGAATTGGCGCAGGGGGAGGGTTTGGTCTGGCTTCCTGGCATTTCCTGCATGAGGCCACCCCAGCTTCAATCTGCTTGTCCATCCCTGGCCACCAGGCATAACTCCTGGCCAGGGCTTTCATCTTGACTATGCCCGGGTGCCCCTCATGCAACATAGCCAACACTCTCTTTTGTAGTGTTTCAGGGATCACCACCCTGTCCCCCCAAAGTATGCAGCCCTTCTGTGTGAACAGCTCGGTTTGCCGGTTTGAGAAAGTTTTAAACTGCTCGCCGCCATCGGTTTCCAGCCACCCTTTCTCCACCCAATTCAAGACTCGCACCAGCCGCTTGTCTTTATTAGTCTCTTTGGCAATGTCTGACGCAGTCAGGGGTGGATTGGGTAATGTCTCTATATGTACTGTCGATGTTGTGGGTGCTGGCTCATCTTCCAGGTCGGGCAGGGGGGAACGGCTCAGTGCGTCTGCGTGTGTGATGCTTTTCCCGGGTTGGTGTGCCAGCTGGTAGCTGTAGGCAGCAAGGAACTCGGACCACCTTGTCATCCTTGGTGACAATATGTTCGGGATGGCCTTGTTCCCTGCCAGTATCCCTAGTAGCGGTTTATGGTCAGTGATAATTGAAAAGGTCCTACCGTATAGGTATTCGTGGAACCGCTTCACACTGGTGATTACTGCTAGCACCTCCTTGTCCAGCTGGCTGTACTTCCTCTCAGGTTTGGACAATGTCCTTGAGAAAAAGGTGATAGGTGCTTCTCTCCCGTCTGGCAGAGTGTGGCTGAGGATGGCTCCCACACCAAAGGGTGAAGCGTCGCATGTCACAGTCAATGGCAGGGTTTCGCTGTACTGCATGAGGACTGCGTCTGATGTTAGCAGCTCTTTTATTTTCTGGAAGGCGTTTTCTTCCCGCTTTCCCCAGGACCAGGTGGCTGTTTTGTCCAGCAGCCTATGTAGGGGTTCCACTGTGCTTGCCTTCTGGGGCAGGAAAACATTGTAAAAATTAATGAGTCCAAGAAAAGCCTGCAGCTCCATTTTATTTTGAGGTCTAGGGGCTTCTTTGATGGCTTTAACCTTTTTTTCTGTGGGGTGGATTCCGTTTTTGTCAAGTAGATACCCCAGGAATTCTACTTTCCCTGTGTATAGCTGGCACTTTTCTTTTTTAACCTTTAGCCCAGTGTCTTTAAATTTTTGTAGGACCTCCCTTAGGTGGCTCTATAGTTGGCTTTTATTTTTGGCTGATACTAACACATCGTCAAAATAGGGCACCACCCCTTTTATTCCTTGCAATAGTCTCTCCATCAGACTCTGGAATACCCCTGGTGCCATGCTGACTTCGAATTGGAGTCTCTTGCATAGGAAGAGTGGGTCACAATGGTTTGCGCCTCAGCAGTCTCAGCGTTGACTGGCAGCTGCTGGTATGCCTGCGCCAGATCGAGTTTTGCAAAGACTTTTCCTCCCCCCAGTGAGTGTAGGAGGTGCTGTACAACCGGAATGGGGTAAGCACTCTGCTGCAGCACATGGTTGAGGGTGGCCTTGTAGTCACCACACATCCTCACGGACCCGTCCGGTTTAATTGGGGTGACTATCGGGGTTTCCCACTGGGCGTGGTCTATCGGCTCCAGGACCCCTTGTGCAACGAGCTTGTCCAATTGCTCATCGATTTTGGGTTTGAGCATGAAAGGCACTCGCCGTGGTTTAAGGCGGACTGGGGCGAGATTTGGGTTCAGGTTGAAAGAGATTGGGGACCCCCAGTACTTGCCTGGGCCACCGTCGAACACCTCCTGGAAGTCCCTCACGAGTGTCTCCTCCCAGTCTGCTTCGGCGATGTGGTTGATGCCAGTCACCTCGATCCCCAATGGTGCGAACCACTCCAGTCCCAGCAGGCTTGGGCGGTCTTTATCCACGACGGTGAGCAGAAGCACCTCTGTATGCCCCTTGAAAACCACCTTAAAGTGTCCAATCCCGACCATGGGAATCCGATTTCCCTGGTAATCCTTCAGGGTCAGTCTCTGGTTTTCTAATTCGCGTCTGTGGATGGTGGGCACCAAACGCTTGATTGTACGCCATGAGACCATGGAGAGGTAGGATCCAGAATCTACCTCCATCTCACATGGCTGGCCCTTGATGCTTACCTCCACATGCATCTTTCGGGCATCGATTGAGTTCAAGTGCCCGATGATGACCGTCTGATGGGTCTCTTCTTTACACCACGTTTCGCTGAACCACTTGTTCCTTCCTTCTCGGCTCCACCGGCTCTCTGCATGTCGGTCTCTCGTCCTGGGGGGGGGGGGCCGTCTCCTCGTCGGGGGCTGTGATTTTTCTTGTTCCGGCATACTTTGACTTTGTCCCCGTTTGTCACAGTGCCGGCAAATGACATCGAGGAACCGGCACTCTGAACGGGGATGGTCGCCTCCGCACCCTGCACACTGGAACCCCAACTTACGACCTCTCCGTTCTCGCCGGTCCTGTTCCGCTTGCAGCCTGTGGATCTCCTCCTCCTTGTCCTCGGTCTCAGAGAAGGAGTCGATGTCCCCGTGGTATGTAGTTGTGGCTTTGTGGCTGGCCTCTGGTCATTTTTCCGGGGTTGGTGTCATCTCGGCGGTTGTTGGTCGGTCTAGGTTGTTCATCTGCCGCATCTTTGCCGCTGACTGCTTCACTGCCTCGGCTGCGGTTGCTTCGGCGATGGCCTCGGTGACGGAGACGTCCTTTCGTGCCATCAGTCGGCTCTGGAGTATGGGGTCCCTTAGCCCGAGGACCACATGGTCTCGCAGGGCTTCGTCCATGTCGGAGAACCCACACATGCCCCCGAGGTCTCTTAGGGTGGCCACAAAATCGCTAATGCTTTTGCCCTCCTTCTGATCCCTTCTGTAGAACTCGTGCTGCCGGATGAGGTTGGGCAGGGCGGGGGCATAGTGATTCCGCAGCAATTGGTCGAGGTTGGTCCAGTCCATCTCCTTCACATCTCGGGGCTTGGCTAGTGCTTTGGCCATCTTGAACACTGCAGGCCCGCAGTGTGTCAGGAACACGGTCCTCTTTTTCTGATCGTTGGCATCTTTCAAGTTGCTGCTCTCGAGGAACATGAGGAATCGATCGATGTATGATTCCCAGTCCTTGGCTGCTTGATCGAAGTGTGTGGGTGGCGAGTTGCTGCTGGCCATCTCGTCGGGAGTTCAGCGTTGATTCACCACGTGCTCGGTTGGTCTCCTTGTCTCACGATTCCACCTTCATCGCCAGTGTTAGATCGGGTACGAAAGAGACGCGAGACCAGTGTACTTCAAGCTCTTTATTTCATGTATAGATCTGTACAAGATCTTGGAGCTGCGGCAGCCCTTCATATAGGGATTGCTTGCGGCTCGCCGGCCAATGACAGGTCTTTGAATCTCCTGCGATCGGCTCGGCCAATCGTAGTTGATTCTTAGCGGACCAATCACTGCCATTCAGTGGACCAATCACAATGCCGTTTGCGTGGAGCAATCAGGAGTCAGTATTTGGAGTACGTTAATACAGAACAGAAACCTTCTCCACATGGCCCCCTTGATATACAGTGGGGCAGGTTCCTCTCTTTGCTTCCAGAAATCCAGCACCATCTCCTTTGTCTTGCAAGTGTTTAGATGTAGGTCGTTTTTTGAATACCATGTGGATAGCTTCTGTACTTCTTCCTTGTATGCTGATTTGTCCTCTCCAGCACCATTGTGTCATCTGCAAACTTTATTATGATGTTGAATATACAGTGAGTACAGGTAGGGGCTAAGCACACAGACCTGAGGGCAGCTTGTGCTGAGCTTCAGAGTGGAAGATGTAAAGGACCCAGCACTTACTGTTTGTGGACGATCTGTCAGGAAGTCTTTGATTCAGTCACAAGTAAGGGGAGGGAAAAGCAGGTCTTTATTTTATTTTTATTTTTTTAATTTTATTTGGTTTGTCAATTGCTTAATAGGTAATAGGTATAAGTAAATAGGTAATAGGTATAAGTAAAAACATAGTTATGAACACGTGGATACATATAAGAAAAATAAAAGAAACAATAGGACAGGGACGGTCGGCATGTTGGTGCACTTATGCACGTCCCCTACAGACCTCTTAGGAAAGGGGTGAGGTCAATAGTAGAAAGTCTAAGGTTAAAGTTTTTGGGTTTGGGGAAGAAACCACAGAGTCAGGTAGAGTATTCCAGACATTGACCACTTTGTTGCGGAAGTCGTATTTCCTGCAATCAAGTTTGGTGCGATTAAACTTGAGTTTGTATCTATTGCTTGCTCTTGTATTGTTATGGTTGAAGCTGAAGTATTCATTGGCAGGTAGGACATTGCAAGGTATGATTTTATATACTATACTTAGATCGGACCGAAGGTGGCGTAGTTCTAGGTTTTCTAGGTCTAGAATTTCAAGTCTGGTGGCATAAGGTATTCTGCAACAAGTAGAGGAGTGAAGAACTCTTCTTGTGAAATATTTCTGAACTTTCTCAACTCTGTTAACATCAGATATGTAATGTGGGTTCCAGACTGATGAGCTGTATTCGAGTATTGGTCTAGCAAATGTTTTGTATGCTCTAGTTATTAGTGTAATATTAACATAGAAAAAGCTCCGTAAGATTAGGTTAACAACTCTTAATGCCTTTTTGGCTATGTAATTACAGTGGGCTCTAGTACTTAATCATTAGAGATGAGTACTCCAAGGTCCTTGACAGAGTTTGGATCATCAACAAGGTCTTGACTATTCAGCTTGTATTTTATTTTCTGATATATATATATATTGCCAATACAGATGAAACTCGAAAAATTAGAATATCGTGCAAAAGTTCATTTATTTCAGTAATGCAACTTAAAAGGTGAAACTAATATATGAGATAGACTTATTACATGCAAAGCAAGATAGTTCAAGGCTTGATGTGTCATAATTGAGATGATTATGGCTTAAAGCTCATGAAAACCCCAAATCTACAATCTCACAAAATTAGAATAGTATATTCAATCAATAAAACAAGGATTGTACATAGAACAATATCGGACCTCTGAAAAGTATAAGTATGCATATTTACTCAGTACTTGGTTTGGGCCCCTTTTGCAGCAATTACTACCTCAATGCGGTGTGGC